ATTATTATTATTTGTTGTTAATAATGAATTACCATTATTGATATTAGTAACTGTTAATGAATGAAATGTATCATTCGAAGGTATTGATTTCACAATATGTTGATGAGAATGTGATGGTAAAGGAGGAGGTCGATAAAGTGGATGTTGAAATTGATGTTGAACAGGATGAAGTATTGTTGGTGAAGATTGTTTAATAAGAATTGATTTTGAACCTATTAATGATGTTGATGGTTCTGATAAAAGATAAGTTGAAGACGACGATGTCATTTGTATATGATAAAAAAATTTTATCTAAATAATAGACCACATATGTTGAATTGTTACCTTATGATTGAACATAATATACAATTTCTCTATGTATGTACAAGAACAGAAGAAAAAAAAATGATACACGCCCGCTTCAACGACGGTCACGCACATAAAATTCTTCATCATCAGACATAAAACGGGAACGAAAAAAGGAGAAAGAAGAGAATAGAAGAAAAGGGTCGTTTTATGTAGACTCCACATGTACGTTTCTGCAGCTGTGCGAATAAAAAGAAAGAATTGAAAGGTATTGTGCGCATTCTCATTTGCGCTCGTTTCTTAGTTGTTCTACACGAAGAGAGGTGTAGTGTTTTCTTCTCTTTTTTTTTCTTCTCTTTTTTCCTATCGTCTACATTAATCTATCTAGTTTTCTATCTCTTCTTTACGCTTTTCCTTCGTCTACTAGACTGACATACAGCATAAAGTATAACTACGTTTATTTCAAATAAAAAAGGTGTGAGCAAGTCATGTTTTAAGAAAAGGAACGTTTGCAGAAGTAAACGACATCGGTCGATAGAACTACTTTTTTTTTGACAAGTAAATTGCTCTCGACACTCAATTCTACGGCTGTTGCCCAGAAACATCTGCGCTCGTGGAGGAGAAGAAGGAAAAAAAAGGAAAATGCATAAAATAACAGACAGAAAGTTCATTTTCTATTTGAAATTTGATTTGTTAATAATTTCAATGAATTTTTGTTATAATTGAACTAGTCAATAAGCATTAAATCTATTATTTTGTCTAATTAAGAAAAAGGTTTTTCTTGAAATTATACGCACATATTATGAATCAGATGATGAAGCGTGTTTCGGTAAATAGAAAAGTTGATGGTAAAGTCATCTACATCTTGCAACAATTATGATATAATTAAAGAAAAAAGAGCAAACTATCGGCTAAGAAGACTTTCATAATTATTATGTCGTTTCTTATTTATATTACGTCGAAAAAAAAATGAAAATATAATTTTAATTATTTGCTAATGTTTTTTTTTGAGATGACGATAGCAACAGACGATTCTCTTGTTTCTTTTATTATTATTATTTTTTTATGTTTCTATTGCTATTTCTATGACACACACACATTGCAAATATCTTTCTATATTTGTCATTATTGTCAATATTTCATTATTATTTGTATGTTAGACTTCAAACGACAAAAAGAAAACCTAGAAATTATACACGAATAATAAAATAGAAATAAAAAAAAAGTAAAGAACAAACATTAATTTTTTTATTCTCTTTTAATAATGGAAAAAAATTGAAAATTCTTTTACGACATATTTTTATTCTATGTATAAAAAAAAAATCTTATTAATATGTTAACATATTGAATGATAAGAACTAGAGATGGGAAAGATAAATATGAAATGAAAAAACATAAAGAGATGACCCAATTAGATTATCATATATGATGTGCTAACTTGAAAATATTAATTAATTCTTAAAATAGATTTTGCTTTTTTTCTATATAGTTTCTTATAAATGAAACGATAAAATCAACAGAACAAAAAAACAATTTTTTTTTAAAAAAAATCTGATAATTTTAAAGAAAATTAATAGTATTGAATATGGTACATGATGAGCATTAAAATAATTATTTTCAAATTAATATCAGGTCAATGCTTTGATAATTTTCAACTGTAGTGAGGAAAGCAGCGAGCGGCGAAGAGATTGCCTTCAAACATTTCTGTTTTTTTTTGTCAACGAAATTCCAAAGCTTTATGATTCTTTTTAGGCACCAATTCTAAAAAAAAACTTTTGATTACTCCGTGCCTAAACCAAATGAACTTTACCAAACAATTTTTTCAGTCAGCCTCATCGACTCATCAATCGAAATGACGTCAGGACATTCCTGAATAAAATTTATATTGAAATTAGAAACTCAAGAATAATATCTACAACTTCTATTTTCTATTCTTTTTAGATTTGTTTTATTATCTCTGATAAATACTGCAATAGATTTAAAAACTAATTTGTGAATATAAATAATTGAAATCATGACTTTGCTATATTCAGATTCTTCAAGAAATAATATCTTTTACTTGAAAAGATTAATAGAAATGCATGATCTTCTAGAATCAATATAGTAAATACGAAGAATCATTATAGAGTTCAAAACAAAATAACACTTTAAATTTATACAGAAAAAAATAAATAAATATCACTCTCATCTTCAATATAAAGGCATAAACAGACAATTGAGTAGATTTGATTTTTACGTAAAATTCGAACAAATAAAAGCTTACTAATGAGAGCAGTTCTGCAACTTATGAATTGCTTTAAAGTCAAAACTCTATGGATTACGTAGACGATAGTAACAGAAAAACTATATTTTTCAAAATTTCATCTTGGAACTTTGTATGGAGACAGATCCTAAGGGTATCCTCTCTTTTTTGACCGTATCTGAGACTCGAAGACAGTAAAATAGATCAAGTGAAAATTGTTACAACAGATATAATACCAAAAATAGGGAGAGATGTGTTTGAGAAACTCATCAAACTTTATTTGATCGGAGTGAAAATTTTTTGAAGATATTGTAGACGATATCTGAGCTGGGTTTAAGTTTTTTCATGAGTAATACGTAAATATTTCATGTCGAAACAGAGATCAGGATTTTTCAATGTTCTGTAACTCTGTGTAGGAAAACGATCGATTTTATCTCCGAAGAATACTTTCAAGAATCAATAGTAAAAATTTCAGTCTGAATTCTTCATTAAATCAATAATAGAAGTGATTTAGTTCATCTAGTTTCGATTTCTATTGATATACTGAGAAATTCTTACTTACTCACGATAACGAATTTTTTATTCAAAAATTAATTGCTTACTTTATTTTAGATAGTTAAATGAGAACGAAATCAAAAAAGAAAAAAGAAAAGCGTCCATATGTTAAACTTGAATTTTTATTTGAAGTTATTTCACACATATACATTGTTTTGTTAACAAAATTATATATATTTTAATCAGAGGACAAATTAGAAATCGTCATTAAAAAACAAGACTAAAAGTATATAAATTATCAAAAAGATCTTTGAATTTAAATGAATGCGAATACAAAGTTTAGCTTGATCGTTTTCTACAATTGTTCCATTTTATTAATGGCATAACGGTGACCACGATCTCAAAGCTAAATAGTTTTTAAACATCATATGCTGATAATTATATTTCAAAAATGTGTAGAATTAACATTTGACTCTCATCAATTTTACAGGCTAGAAATATTTCTCTAATTAATCGACGTTATACAATCGATTTATTACTGATTCACGAAAAATTGTTTCTTGTACTTTGATCATGATGTTACACTGACTTTGTCGAAAATCATGAGAGTTTTCACGACATGAGTAATCTCGACTTGAAAGATTTCTTTTCTAAGATATGAATTAAAAAACTACTAAGAGAACTATTTATGTGTTCAAAATCGTGTATTGTTAGGGGGGATTAACCATAAGATTATATCACGATTTTCCATATGACATTTATGATGATTAGCTATTGTATTACAATTGGAGCTCGACAAGTATACGGTCGTTTTTTTTTAATCATCGTACCTATTAAAGTTTTCCATGATTGAGAAGAGAGATGATTTTGTCTTCTTCATTCCCTGTAAATAATAAAGGACAGCAGATTCTTCTTACAAAATAATACGTAATAATTAGTCATTTTAATATTGAGATTGATCTAAATAAAAGGAAAAATGTATAATTTTTATCAATAAATACCTTCTGTCGCCAGGTTGAAGTTATTCGGTAGGATCACATCCGATGCCAACGATCAGATATCATCGGATTTCGTCATTAGAATTTGACGGTATCAAAATATTTAGTTTTATTTTTTATAATTATAAGATAGCATGTAAAATATGTTTTTAACACTTTATGACAATACGAATTCATTTTTTTACTAACCGACTGTTTATAGTGACAAATGGTATTATATAAAGCAACGAACAATAAGTATAAGTTTTTCTTTCCAATTGAAACTATATTATGGTATAAAGTCAATGAAAAGTGAATATAAAAAATGATTGATTCTATTGTTTTTCTCGATTTTAAATTTCTTATTGAACAATTGAATATAATAAACAGTTAAAATAAAGTACATTTAAACTATTTATTTTGCAACGTATCAGCAAATTCTTTTTTTAAATCAATACTAATTGTTGAAGTTTTTTTTTTGCAAAATCATGATTTAATCGTCCAAATTTAGCTAATTTTGACTGCATGAGTATTTTTTTGCTATTTTCATATATGTATGATCAAATTGACTATATTTCTTTTAATGTCAACTTCGATAAACTTCATTTTTTCAAGTTCGATTAGGAGTATATGATTATCATGTATGTCTTTGCATACGATAGATAGCACTAGAAGGTGGTGCATTTATTAAACATAAATCAATCAATCGTTTATTAAGCACATACAAATGAAGTTATTTTTAAAAAATTCAATTAGGCAAATTAGTTTTTTTAAAATAAAAATCAAACATAATGAATATCTTCATTCTTATACTAATACTAAAACAAAAAAAAACTGTTCCTGACAAATATAAACGAATCATATGTGTTCTTGTCATAAGCTTCTTTCATAAGACATACAATGAGGTTTACTTCCCATAGAAAAAACGATTTAAAATCAAAAGAATACATTTCCTTGTTTTTTAATCAATGATTTGAATTTTCAAAAAAAAAAACACAAAAATGAGTTCATCATCAAATTTACAAATAAAAGAAAATGCACTTGAAATAATAAAAAATTTTCGTGTGCCAGATTTACAAGTAAAATTTAGTTTTTATTTATTTTTTTTTTAATTGTAAAATATCCTTTTTTTCCAGGCTGTACTTGAATATTCATGTCTTTCACGACAAGGTAATAAACGTGAATTATTTCAACGTTGTAAAACGCTCATAAGTTCAAGTTTAACTTCACAATTAATAAATAAAATTAATCAAATAAATATAACACGAATTAATTCAACAAGACCACAACGTTCAGCTGTATCTCTTCCTATATCAGCAACATCACGTGATTATCATAATCAACAATCAATTATTTTATCACCAAAATCATCAATTGATAATTTACCATCACCTAATCTTGTACAAAATGTTCATTTACCTTTTTATGATAAACTTCGAACAATTGAATGCATAAATATACCTGTTGATTGGAATAAATTTTCTCCTTTACCTTTTATTTTAACTGAATTCGATGTTGATTATATACTTAAAGGTATAGCTAAAGTTCTTCTTCGTATTGCACCAACAATTACATCTGAGAAACAAAATGATGTTTTACCACCTTATCTATTCATTCAATGTAATGTAAGTTTAATATAAAAAGGTGGTGAGTTAAATTACGGATCAAGCGTTCACAAAAAAATCGAAAACCTAGTTTTATTAGCCTGAGAATAAGTATTGAACTTTGATGATTTTTTACAATTGAGGTCGTCCTTCGAAATTGAAAAATAAAATTTTATCGTCGCTCTCACAGGAGTCTTTATAGTTTGATAGCGCTAAAACTTTTAAAAATCAATTTTTGACTTAGAATGCCACTAAAACCTGTCTTAAGTTCGTCGAAAATGCAAAAGAAACCTCTCTTGACTTCTCAAATATATCATATTTGAAAAAAATCATGAAAAAACTGAGTCGAATTATGCTTGGATAGTGAAAGCATCCGTCTAAACTTGTAAAACATTATTTAAAGACAAAAACAGTAATTAGGTAATTAAAAAATTGTTTTGATGAAATTCATTTTTCCGTATATTGTTTAGAAACATCATGAGTCGACTCAGTTTGTTGCACTATGTTCAAATATGACATTTTTAAGAAGTGAAACAGGGTTTCGTCTGCTCAAATAATATGATCGAATTGGAGTGCTACTTGACATTGATCACTAGAAAAAGATTTGAAAACCTAAGAGATTCTTATACATTCTCATAGGGAAAAAAATTCTGCATTAAATGAATCTACTTTCTATAATTCTAAAACAGACTCTAATGGACTTTTAATGCTATCGAACTATAAAGATTCCCAGATAGAATGGCAAGAAAAATTTTTTTCCGATGCCTGCAGGGGTACCCCTGGTGTGAAAAGTAATCAAGGTTCTAAAACTTATTTTCAGGCTAAAAACACTAAGTTCACATGCTTTTTTTTAGGTCCGTAATTTGATACACCTCTATTACAATAGGAAAATTAAATATAAAAATTTTTTAAAATATCTAGGGTCAAACAGTTATTAATAATAATATAGCAAAAACAGGTGGTTCACAAGCTCATTCAATAGTATTTCCAACTGATATAACAGATAAATTAATACCTAAATCAAATATACAGAATACACTAAATTATCTTTGGCTTCAATCACCAATAAATATGTCATTGAAAAATTTACCAAAATCTTATACATTAAAAATTCAACTTGTTCGTTGTATGTCATTAGATTATTTATTTGAAAATATTCTTAAACGTGAACCACAATTAAAACATGTCAATAATAATGATAGTGATATTGAAATTGAAGATATTGGTTTAATGGCAACACGTCATCGTGTTTCATTAATTTGTCCAATAACACAATCATTAATTATTGTACCAGCTAAATCATCATATTGTTCACATTTAACATGTTTTGATTTACGATCATTTCTTCAAATGAATGAACGACGTGTACAATGGACATGTCCATTATGTAAAAAACCAGCTTCATATGACAATTTATCTGTTGATAAACGTTTACAATCAATTCTTTCCAATATTCCACCAAATTGTTCAACTGTTGAAATTGATTCATCAACAAAAATTTTATCCGATTGTCAATATATATTAGATAATGTTAAACAAGAAAAAACTAGTGTTGTTATTAATACTACTGCATTAAATCAAAATAATAATAATAATAATGATGATGATGATGATGATGATGGGGAGGAGGAGGAGGAGGAGGAATCGATACAAAATTCTCCAATCAGTAAGTTTAAAATTATTTATTAGATAAGTGTTTCCTTTGAAATCTAGTTCAATTTTGTGGAATCACATTCCAAATTGAAAATTGATAGGGATATTTGAATGGTACGATATAAATTGAAAAGTTTCTAGATTTTTGAATTATTTCGATGATACTTAACAAAAAAACTATCTTATATAGTAGATATGTTAGATTTTAGTTACGGTTCGTCTGTACATGAAGAGTTTGTCAATTGATATACCTGTTTCTGTGAGTAATAACAAAGAAAGTTTCCTAAATGATTAATTGCTTTTAAACTAGCGCTATGACCGCTATGAAGAAAAAAAGTTGATGTCTTTAGTTTATTGCTGCTGACATACCGCGTTTTTTACGATAATTCCTAAGTGATTAATATAGCCTTCTTCTGTATCACTCGACAAACTTGTTTTCAATTATAGAGAAGTTCTTGACGACAGTGGTTTATCGTGAAGCTTTCAAATCTTTGCGTTGTTCTTTTGTAAGATACAACACTAAAGCAAAAGCTTGTTGTTTACATTGTTCATATTCATTGTTAGATTCGATGTTCTTATTTCAGAATTTGAAAAAATCAAAAGATCTGAAAATTTCACAATAAATTACTCTCGTCAAGGATCTCTCTCTCTCTGTAGAAAGTCTCAATTCGAATTGCAAAGCCAATCGATGATTGAATATTTAGCAGATAGACTACGATATATTTCATCGTAGTGTGTCACCTGAAAAGTTTAATTAATATGATGCTTTGATCTTCTATCGATAGTAAGAAAATTACTGAACTTTCCCATAGCTAAATGTTATTAAAAATATACTTTTGCTTGATGGCAATTTTACGCAAAGTCTTGTTCTTCGGTTGTATTTCAATTTTGATGAATGAAAAAAAAAATTTTTTTCTTACAACTTTGAAAATTCATTTAGTCAAAGTCTGAATATGTTTCTTTTACGAACAGACAATTAGAACTATATCAGACAGCATATTTATTTGTTAATGAATACCTATAGATAATACACCATAGAAGATGGAAAAGATTTTAACAAGCCTTAATTCGAAAAAGTTTTTTATATACAAATGATAGTATGAGATTTTTGTAATTCAGTAAATGATTTCCTTCTTGTTCTAATACTAATAAAGCTAAGCGATTTCTCTCTCTATTTAGATATCTATTACCTTTGTTCAAGGTTTTGTAAGAATCAAAGAGAGATCTTAGGAAATCTTGACATAATCTTTTTAAAATTTCTATCCGAATGCAATTTATACAATCGTGTAATTAATTAATTAGATTTTTCTTCAAATATCGGAATGTAACTTATTTTTTTAGTAGACGAATTTGAATATGTTTTCTTACTAATCATTTGTGCATATCAAACGTTACAATCAGATCTCTTTTTTATAGCCTGACTGGATCGTAGCAGAACTAAGAATGGTTCATACCTTTCCGGCTCAATTGGTACTGGTGATAAGAAGTATATTTAAAAAAAAAGAAGATTTTTATCCTGTGAAACTCAACGGTTATCTATCATCATGTTGATCAGAAATTTATGAAGGATAGATTATTCTAACATTACTAAAAATAATATGATGAATAAGAGTAATCTTGTTTTGACACCAAGAAAAAAGTAGGCTATGTTCACGAGTACTTCATTTTTCTGAATAGTTGTAGTTTGCACTCTTGATTTTTGGTATATTGTTAACATTGTTCTACTTGACTAATACTTATAACAGTTCATAGAATTGATATGTCTTGTTTTTATTTATTTGTCTAATAGAAATCTAGGAAACACTTGTATCGTACAGCTTCTTGTTTATTATCATTTGCACGATATAGAAATCATATGTAATAGATTAATATCTTTTTGTTTTCTCATTGAAGAATCTCGTCGTGAATCCATTACAAGTGATTGTGTTATTCTTTCATCTGGAAGTGAAAGTAAAGATGAAAATGAAATTGAAGACAATAATACTCCAAGTATTCATTCATCTATTCCAATAACTCCACTTTCAAATGATTTCTTTAATCAAGATAATCTTATTGATGAAATTCAACAATTAAATAATACTAGTCAATCATACATGAATGTACATCAATTTCAATCTCTAGCAGCATCAAATATTGATGATGGAAGTTATTGGGCAGAATTAGCAAGAATAACATATCATTTAATATCCGATGATGTTAATAATCATGAACAAAATCGAAATCGAAAACGAAGTAATAGTTCTATGTTATCACAATATTCAAATGGTGATGATTATAATCGTCGAAAACGAGCAAAACGATCACCAATTAATACATCACAATCAACTGATATTGAAGTTATTGTCCTTTCATCAAGTGACAGTAGTGATAATGATGATCATGCATCATGATCACATAAATAAAAAATTTTTTTTTTGTTTGTTATATCTTTTTTTTTTTTTCATTGTATGTTTGAAACGTTTGATTGTCTATATTTCTTATTTCGTTTGTGTGTATGTATGTATACGTTGAATGAAAAAACTAGAATCATAGAATAAAATTCAAAATATTTTTTCTTTTTTGAGCAGTTGCTTTGTTCTCAGATTATATATATTTTCTAGATTTTTATATGATGTTGGATAAGTACGAAAGAAAATGGAGACTTATGAACTTTATTAAATAAAAATGGAAGTATACAAGCAACTTAAGTAATGGTTATACCTCGAAATAATGGTCACCAATAGATTCTTTCCATCCTCCTTGTATGCATACCCGTAGTACACAATGTCCTCCATGTTCTTTCTAACCATTCATATTCTTAATTCGATGAATAATGATTCGTACTCTTCCATGGTTTATTTTTTCATATGAATGGATATATTTTTATGTGAACCTAAATTAATTCATATTGATATATTTTTATGATAGGTAAAAATGAAAAACGATGATTTCTTCATTTTCTTTATCCAAGTTGTTGAGTACGACATGCACCTGGATTTCTATCTGTGGCATTGTTCGAAATTTACGCTTGGAAAATAAAATTAATTAAATTCGATTTTTCTTTTATTATCATATATTTAAATGTATATATGAGCATCGAATTTAATTATACAAGAAAAAAATAATAATAAGCAAATAAATTATTTTGTTTTTATTTTATTTAGTTTTCCGCTATGGGCGTCATATTCAATCGGTCTACTTCATAAACAAGATAGGTTAGAATTATTATTTGTTGATAATATCTAGCGTTGGTGGTAGTTAACAAGCTCGAGATAGTGTCGAACGTATATTTTGAAAAGATCGACAATACTTCTATTCATTCGATGATCGAGTGTGAGATACCTGAGACAATTTTTTTTTTTCGTTTTATTGTATGAATATTCATCGAAATTTTTATGTATTAATTATTAATTGAAATAATAAAAATAACTTTATTTTATTTTGTTTTAATATCAATAAAGATTTTCTTAATCCAGATGACTACAGCAAAAGTTCAAGCAATAATAAGTGTTAAATCAGAAAATTTCCATCAAACATTTGAAGAATCTATACATGATTCATCTACAACAAATCAATTATCTTCTTATGAAGGACTAATTGCTGCTAATGAGCGTTTAAAAGGAAATATTTCAAAGATCTTTACTGAATTTGTTAATAAAGCTCGTCTCGAACAAGAAACTAATGGTGATAAGAAAAAACGTAAATTAAAACGTAATTATATTTTTATTCGATATAAAAAAGAAGTTTTTTTTTTTTTTTATTCATTTTTGTTTTTCTATAGATGATGATGATGAGAAGGAAGACGATGATGAAGAAGAAGAAGAAGAAGAAGCTGAAGATGGAGTGGATGATGACGATGATGCCGAATTATCGGACAATAATGAAGAAGAACAAAAATTTTAAAGAAAATCCGAATTGTTTTCAATAGTTTTTCTTTTTTTGTACGAAATTTTCATTCTATTAATCTCGATTGAATGATAAATTGACATTGTTTTTTGTATCTACATTGACAAATAAAACTCAAATTCAATATATTAATGTGATTGATGTTGAAAGCAATGGGACTTTATTAGAATAGTACAAATATAATTAAAGATACTCTCAAATGAATTTTATTATACATTTAATATGAAATGAAAGTTCAAACAGTAGGAAGCACAAACCTTACGAATTAAAATGTAAAACACGACATAGCTGCTATTGCTAATAATAAGAATATTTCTTGGTTTCATCTATTTTAGAACACATTTCTTCATAATTCTTTTATTTGATCCTCCGAAAGTGTCATAAAGAAGTAAGTCATATATTCTACTGAGACGTAATTGATTTACGGCCTGTGATGATAGATGAGGGCAAAGAGCATTGCTAAGGCATCAATTACAGTCGTGTCACGTGTGTGGATGCAGACCGAGGAGTAGTAGACCCGAGTTTCTACTCCTATCCTTTAACATTCCTTTGAGATCGTGTTACAAAAAAGTATTGATCTCGATTTTGGCAAGATCATGACCATTTTGCACTCATCTAGTTATGAGCATTCTCTACTCTTTGAAACCTGACCTCATTATCACAGCTGACACTCAACAGAGATAATCAATATAATTAATAGCCGTTCGAATTACTAGGCAGTAACAGACGTATGAAAACATTCTTCAATTTATTGAAACGATCTCTAAATATAGTTCTTCTCTATGTGTATCAACATAGTTAAATATACAAATATGTTATTTTCTGGTAAAGAAATCGAACAAGTTCTATTCAGTATTATTTATTTGTTTATTGATATATTATTCTGATTAAAAAATTTTTTGAAAAGTATAGACACACACACAATGATTTTTATAATCAAGTTCATAAGTATTATTTAGTCTTGATTTTTTAAAGCTATGTATATCACTAAATATCTAGCTCCATAACATGCAAGATAATATACGTAATCGTTTAAACGGTTTGATAAATAAGACGTTCCCATTCTTTTGAATTGTGAAGATTTTTTGCACTTCCACATCTGTCACCACCGCCACGGCCAGCACCCGATGGAAATGACCAACAGAGTCGATATTCAGAATGAACATCACTGGAGTCACAAGTATTTAAAAATGCTGTGTGAATGTAATATCCATAATAATTAGGATCGACCCAATCCTATAATATATGATAGCATATTACACTAATAAATTTTATCAGAAGTTATTCAATTTTAAATGCATCTTTTATCTATGCATGCTTTCAAATTCTTCTTCTTTTCAAGTTGAAATAATGATTTGATTGTCTAAAAACAAAAGTCTTTGATTTTCTTCCACCTAAAGATTATTTTATTATCAATTTATATAAACTCGTACCTTTGGGCGTCCTTCGAAACCCCAGACGAGATCTGCCACATAGTAGAAACCTATGCCATTTTTCTTATTGGTTATACAATGACCATTTGATGGACATGGATGAAAAATGCTTTCACGTTCACCTACACCAGCTACAGTTAAAGTTTTTTTGTTATTAACAGAACGACAGGCAACAAGAAGTCGTTTGCCTTTGCAAGTATCACTCAATACTGTAGCATTGAACGGTGTATTATATTGACCACGATAACATTCTTTCCATCCAACAAGAGTATCTGTTTTCAAATTGAGATGAGCACCAATCAGTGGTGATAAGAAACGTTCAGCTTCAAAAAAAAGACTAATGAAAATTTAAACTTTTTCTATTTGATTTAACTTACAATTCAATCCGAGTTCGTTGAGCATATTAGAAAAATTAAAACGTACATCTATATTTGGTGCTTTAATGTCAAGATCATATGGTGAAAAATTTGGCACTCGTTTTATTGCTCGTAATTGATCAAGTAAATATGAAAATTGTACAGGATTATAATCAAGAAAGTATGCATTACTATCTTTGCTTTTCGCTATAGTTTTGTTGTCAACATCTTTAGCAAACATAAGTGCTAATTTTGAATTAGGTACAATAGTGAGAGTTGAACGAAATGTTGTTATTCGTTGACCACCAACGTTTAATTCAATAATATCATCTGATGATGATTCTGATGTATCATCCATGTTATTCTGAGCATTCAAACGAGTAGATGTTTCATTTTCAACAATTGCAGTATTGTGATAGCTATCATCATTGGTCATAGTGGTCTCGATGAAAATAGGATGCTCAGTTGTAACTAAAATTTCTTCATCTAAATCTTCTTGAACATATTCCACATTAGGACCAATTATTCTGGCTACTATCTGTTGATTAAATAGCAAAAGCCAGGTAATCTAGATATCAAAGCAGAATTTAAAAAACAAAAAAAGAAAAATTTGCCTTAAAAATATACATACGAGTAAAACAGAAAACATTTTATTGATAATCTATCCAGAAATTATAGACGAATGAAGAAGTCTATGACTATTTTACTTTCTTATATATAATGTTGTTATTTATTTACAAGACTCTATCTCTTGCTATAAGTACTATTGATTGACACTCAGAAATATTGATTAAGATAGATGAAGTGATGATAATTATACTGCAAAAATGTCTTTATTTTTGTATTTATGTTGATGACAAAATCTATTTATTTGTTTATATGAAACACATGCTTACAAAAGAAATTTCCCAGATATTCATGAGAGTATAGAAAAAATTATAATTCATAATAAATACCAGCAAATAGTGTAAAAAGAAATAAATTGAATATTTTTTTAGATCACTTATTTAGATAAGAAAACAAAACCAATTTGATTTAATAGAAACTTTATTATTAAATGTATTTGAAATATAACTAGGAAGAAACTATAAAGGAATAATAAGAAAAGCTTATTAGCATAACCCCGGTGGAGCTGAATTATGGAACTCACATATGTTCGTTAATCTGATTATACTAATACAAAATACATAAAGTAAAAAAATCGCTCGCAAATATAGTTCTTCTACAAGACAATTGGTTACTTGATTTGCTCATCTTTTTTTCTATATTTCGAACAGAAACTTTTTCTATTTTTTACTGATGCTGTAATATTTGTTTTCTTTGTTGCTATTCACTTATTGTTTTTCTTAATTTAACATCATTATTATTTTTAACCATTAGATTTATATCACGTCTCAACGCATAATATTTGTTTTATAACTTCTTCTTGTTTAATACTTTGTATATCATCGGTATGTTCATTAGTGAGTTTAGATATCGTTTGCATAGTTGCTTTCAGAATATTTTCAGGTGAACAGAGTGTATGTGATAAAAAATGAGATAGTAAGCTTATATTTCCAGGAAAATCAAATGAAATAATTGTGGCCAAAATTTCATGAAAATTCACTTTGATATTTTGTAATATATAAGCATAGAAAATTTATTGTAACATAAGGTAAAAATGAGTTTTAGCTGCGCATCGTCAGTAATTCATCTACATGTTCACAACTATATTGTTCAGTCTATATTACTCATTAAATAATGATGTACAAACATTTGAATTTCCTAATAATTGAAGTAAACCATATCCCATGCTATGAAATTTTCGTATCTCTTAATCAAATACCTGTATGCAAAAATAACACTTGGAAACACAATCTATATTATAGAAATTTCGTTTGTTGAATGAAGAAAAAAAAAACTAATATATCTTTTTGCATATATTCACTTGAGTTTATTGCTACAGTATAACCTCTCTATAGTGGACACCTAAGGGACTATTTAAAAGTGTCCATTATAAGGAGGTGTCCATTTTGCAGAGGTTTTCAATCTTTTTCTTAACAGACGTTGCTGCTGGCATCGAAGGACATCAGAATCCCTTTCTTCATATTATTTAAAAAAAAGAGACGTTCTGAGAACACTTTAGGTTATAATTTATTGAAAACTACTTATTAGTGTTAGTCAAATAATCATGTTGATATTCCTCACGACGAGTTAAGATGTTGGCGACGTTGCTCTTGAAGATTGAGTACTATTTCGCTACTTTACGTATTGAAAGACCATTGCCAGCACTACTATCTTTAATCGGTAGTGTCAAAATGTCGAAAGGAAAATGTCGAAAGTGAAAATGTAGAAAAAAAATGTAGAAAAGCAAAATGTCGAAAATTATGAACCCCTGTAAATCCTTGTAAATCCTTGATGGAAAACTTTTTCTAAGATTTGATCAATAGAATGTAATACGGTACACATTCACAGAGCACAACAGTGAGGGTGAGGGCGAAATCTGTGACCAAAAAGGATTTAGATTTTCGACAATCTGCTTTCGACATTTTGTCTTTCGATATTTTCCCTTTCGACCTTTAACCACCTATTCCTTTAATCAATAAGATCTTTTGTTTAAATGATAATTTGTGTTGTTTCATGAGTTGATAAATAAATATATGTTCCGTTCATTCTTTTTCTTTCTACTTTTTATTTGTGTCGCTTATCTCTCGTGTTATTTTTGACCCGTTCATCCTTGTTTTGTTCTGTTCTGACTAGTCTATTTCATTACTGCCTGATTTTTAAATATCATTCAGTATTATTGTCTATTTATTCTTTTATCCTTGCGGTATATTTGTCATGATAATTGAATCAATGTATACAGACATGTGCGAATCTGATTGACTAAAAAAAGTATAGCGAACTTAAGCAAGTGTCCACTTTGCAGAGGTTATTTACTACAGAAGGACTGAAAGAAAGTGTCCACAGTCCAGAATAAGGAGGTGTCCACATTCAAGAGGTTCATTTCCAGCAAAAATAGCTCGGGCGGACCAGAAGGTGTCCATTATACGGAGGTGTCCACTTTAGAGAGGTGTCCACATAAGGAGGTTTCACTGTAATTTGTTTTTCGAATTATCTTGCTACACATATTAAACAGCATGTAAACATTGAATGCATTAAAAACAGCATATTTCATTCTTTATCTCTTTGTTGGAATGTACTCGATAACATATTCGAAAAGAGTTTTAAACAAAGATAAGCATTGTAAATTGTTCAAACCGGACAATGACGAAATATGTGTTCGTGAAGGAAAAACTTTCTAATCCATCACAAGTATTGAAGTATATAACCTTTCTTTCTAAATAAATTAATACTTTATGTTATGATTCTTTAATATTGTAGTTTATAATAGATTACAAAGAATTTGTTATTTAGATTAAATAAGATCTTTATTGAAACTGAATAGAGCTTAATGATGTTAAGTATTCCTACGATCGTTTTTGTTTTACTTGGATTATTCTAACAAATAAAACTATACAATTCACTTCATCGTTTGATATCATACTTCAATACGCTGATATTACTTCTAAATCATCATTGATAGATGCATATATTTGTAATACAAGATCTTAATGGGATAGACAAATATTATTATATTCATGTCAAAAATGAAAGCAGATATTTTTCATGTGTTTAATAGAATCAAAAGGTCTATGAGAAACATTTGAGTCATTTTGATGTTTTAAACTAATCGATACTAAACAGTTTTCTTTGAAGGCACTGAATAAAGATAAAAAACAAATTCTGTATATAACATTGAAAATCAGTTATATATGGTGGTTTCAAACAGACATCGACTTTGAATGTTGATCAAAAGGAAATATTCATGAAGTTGAATTCAGTTCATGCATCTTTTTTGCTAGTTACTTCTATTGATATTATTTATAAAACTTTGATTAGATTGAGATACGTATTGATGATATTCTTGCCTTTGTTTTCTTTTATGGATATGATGAAAATCAACACAGAATTTAGTAAAAATATCGGATACCAGTAATATAAGAATATTCTTTTTATATTGAATTCAAAAGACAAAATTTCACAGCTCCTTCTCATACTGAATATACATAAAAATTTATTGTAGCAATTTCTCGGAATTTCATATCTTGAGATAATCAAATACCAATAAAAAGACTAAAGATAAAATTTATTTTAAATATATTGCAATTGTTTTATACTAATCTCAATCATAGATGTAATTTAAAAAATTGACAATATCTACAGTGAGGACAGTGAATTAATAATCAACTTCCATTGGTGTATGTTACAAGACGCTTTACTGAAGCGTTTTTTCTTCACTCACTCAACATTAGCGCTATTTTAACATTCAAAAAAAGAAAGGAAGTTGCTTTCGACCTATTTGCGTCAACAAACATCATTGCCAATCTTCGAAAGCAGTCGTTCTCCGAAGAAAAATCTAAACAACAATATTTTTTCTTCCATCTTGTGCGCTTGGTGAGAAAAAAATGATGCATGCACACAGTCATCGTGTTATTTTATTTTTAGTTGAAAGTAAAGAAAAAGCGTAAAACCGATTGCTTGCAGGTTACTGAACCAATTAATAATCGAACAACTTACTAGCGAAGCACTTTCTTGGCCAAAAGTAAGTATTGTTATGTACTAGAAAAAAAAATGAAATATGTTTTGATTCAAGTTCTGCTATATTTTAGTCTCCCTTTATCTTGATATCTATGAATTAGATAGTTTAACAAAACTGACTTACTCAAAGAAAAGGATATACAGTCATAAATGCTTTCTATACCATACCAAAAGATTTTGTTACAATCCAAAATTTTTAACAGCAAGATGAAGTGTATCACTTGCAAATACTTTCGGAGTGCTTTATTTTAAGAACTAGGAAAGAACAGTTCAAACAGAGGAATGATAGTTTCAGTTGATTTCTATTTATTGGTCGCAGTGTCAGTTTAACTGGAAGTAGTAGAGGTTCAAACAAGTCCACGAGAAGTAGGCCCAAGCTGCTCATTACAAGTTATGAATCTCTTCCATCTGCCTATGTTTGTCAACCATTTTCGTTAGTCTGACTGACCTGTCATTACCTTATATGGTCTTTACATATGGGTACTATGATGATTTTGAATCGAAGTAGAGCAATCCAGGTTAGCGATGTGCGACCGAATCATAATAGAAAATCGCAGAAACTTGAGACCAAAAAATCTACTATCCGGATCCGTTAACCATATTCTTCCGGTTCCAATTGGAGCCATCCATAATAAGTCAGTGTCAACCCTTGAATAACATCATCGTATTTCTGTTGTCAAGTTCGTCCTTTTTCTGGAGTTTGTGACTCGAGAGCCTATGAAAAAGAGGATCAGAATCATTGACTGACAGTGCTTTTATAAGAAAGCGCGGGTTTCATGTATACCAAAAGTAAAATCAATACACGATAGATTTATTATTTCGATACAGAATATGTTTTCTAGCAGTAGACAAAGAAAGAACACATTAACATTTACAAAAAATATAACAGGCAGGCAATGAATCTACTTTGAGCGATCTATCTAGTCGGTGACATGCTCAAAGGTCATTGCCTGTGTCTGTCTGCAGTGGGTAGCCTCGACAGTTTGGTTCAGGATCTGAATAATGTTAAAAAAATAGCTTAGACTCTTCTTCAGTGCATCATTGTTATCCCATTGTTGTGAAACGAGTAACGTTACCTATATACATATAATTGATATACATTTTAGCGTATTTCGACATATTGTTCCTAGAGTAATGACTTCATCAAATCGCTGTTCAATGTGTGGAAAACGTGCAGACACTTGTATTTGCATGGGATGTAAAGCGCACTTTTGTGATGATGATTTTCAAAGTCATCGTGGAATATTAATTAATGATTTAGATGCGCTTACTGTAGAACGGGGTAATCTTCAAGTTAAAATCAACGAGGCTATTTCAAACGATCAGTCGAGCAAACATCTTCTTGCAACGATTGATGAATGGCAACGAACAACTATTGAGAAGGTTAAACAAGCTGCTGAATTAGCTCGACAACAGGTTTCCAAAATCATGAATTTCAAACGGGAAGAAATTACCAAACAGTTTGAAACGCTTTCACAAGAGTTGAAGGAGTTTCGAGATACAAAAGATGTTGTTGAGCAGGATTTAATCCGATTGAAACAGAAAATTCGTCAACTTAATGAAGATCTAGAACAAGTATCGCCATCACTGACTATAGAGCTGAATATGAAACAGAGTGATCAAATTGCATGGGATAGAATGATATATGTCGAGCAAAAATCTCTATATGCTGGTAATCAACAACACCAATCAAAACTAATTGGTGAGTACTTCAATAGAATCTGCGATGAAAAATTTAAATATGAATAAAATAAGGAGATAAAAAATAATAGGTTGAGCAATGAAAGGAAATAGAATGGGACTTTGTTAGTGTAAAAAAAATATGCTATAAGAATAAGAAATTTGAATTGCTTTAATATTTAGTAAAAACCTCTCGAATAAGTGAAGGCATCCAGCAACGATGTACATCTCTAATTATTTATTTCATCATCTGCATAATGTCCGAAATATACATTAATCATTTAAATTTTCTATCCTTCATCCACCAACCAAGAAGACCATGGCATGAGACAATATGCATAAGAATCTTTCAACCCTTGAGAAACGTAAACCAAAAAGTTCTTGGTTACTTATTACGTGATTTATGATACAAGACGAAAAAAAGATCACAGCAACACTATGTGTTATGTATAGTCTTTAAGTTGCTGTATTTCTCTGCTGTTAAACTGAAAATGGATCAAAATATATTGATGAGTTTTTCGTTTCTTTTTAATGTCTGCCATTGTCATAGAAATTAGCAAATCTAAACACTACTGACATCGTGAAATGGACAGATCTCTAACAGAAGATCTGTTTTAGATGCTGTTTGAAATTTGTGACAGTGTTCGAAAAAGTCATGACATAAAAATTTAATATAACTCATTGATACACGCCCAATAAAGTGCACCTCTTATGACCTGTTTCGCTATTTTTGACTGTCTTTATTTTACCCTTGACTATATTATGAGCACTTTCACGTATTGATTTTATGATAAATCACCAAAAACTTTTGTTTTCAATAATTTATTGCCTTGATACGCTATTTCTAACTGAAACAAGATATAGCAGGCGACATTTTTCAAAGTCAAACAATATTCAACTAAACACAATAACTCGAAGATAAATCACTTACACGATCGAAAAAAACTACCAACTGTGACTTCACTGAATTGTTGAATATTTTCAGATCCACAATCTATATTGAAAATAGCTTCTGAACAATCAAACAAGTCTTTATAAGTTTTCACTCAGTTCGTATTTCTATATAATGTACTCCGAGAAGCTCGAGTTAAACCGTTTTAAGACTTCATCAAATTTCAAACAATCAACTATATATAGGTATTCCTTACTCATAGAAGTGATATGCTATACTTGTTTACTTTTAATTGCACTGCATGATGAAACCCTGAATAGAGCAAGTTTATGGAGAGCTTGAATGGAATCTGGAATTTACACTTGCTAACTATTCGATTTTCTTAATTATAAGAGACGCTTCACTATTCTTAAGTGAGGATGTTTAATATATTAAGAGCTTTTAATTACTCTATTTATTATGACATTATCAAAGAGCAGAAATCATTGACAAGCAAAAAACTTTATCAACAAGAAATCGCCTCATTCTAAAACCTTTGAGATTTTGACGTTCTTCGAAATACTTTGGCACTGGTCAGTCTAATAAAAAACTTAGAAAGCTATGCTTGCTTTATTTCGATTATTTAGAACGACTTAAGCTATATGAAACAATATGATATCCCTGTATACATCGCCAAACCATAGTTTCTGCAATTTAGTGTACATATTTTTTTTTATCAAAAAGTTGTCAATAACATGAGTTTCTGTTATTAAGATCACTTAATGAGCCTCTCTATTTAGAGGAGCGGCGGTCATCTGCAAATACTATTGAAATAAAACTTCCCTGTGGCGGCAACGTTTGTCTAAAATGTTATATTAGTTCATTTTCTATGCAGGATCTAACAAGCAGATCACATCACTTTATAAGCTTGATTTCAGCTGAATAAGTGAGCCAGTTTCTAACAAATGTGATTAGAAGTTTTCATCAAACATGCTATTAAAAAGCAGATTGATAATCTGCAACATGTTGTTTACACTGAATGAAATAGTTCAACATAATTATGATTTTCATTATTCACAATTATGTTGACTTTCATTGATCAAACGACTCGCAACATCTACTTTGAAATACAGAATAAATGTGAACAAGATCATTGGTAAATGTATCTACAATTTCTACGTATTTCTTATCATTGTTTTTATTTCTAATTTTCATTCAAAGAGAGCAGATTAAGTGAATAGGGGTCTTTTCAGAAATATTCATTTGTGACGTGATCTTGGAACATCTAATGAATCTCGCTTTTTTTGTCTTCGAAATGAAATCAATACGTGAACAGAATTCTCGTGAAGATTACTCATTTGTAATGTAACTTTGGAACATCTGATGAATCTCGCTTTCTGATATTCGAAATGAATTGAATAGATGAACACAAGTATAATGAGCAATATTCATTTGTGATATGATCTTGGATCATTTGATGAATCTTGCTTTCTTGCCTTCGAAATGAAACGAATATGTGAACAAAATTCTCGTGAAGAATATTCATTTGTGATGTGATCTTAAATCATCACATGAATTTTGTTTTCTTGTCTTCAAAATTCAATGAATAGGTGAATAGAAGTATAATGAGAAATATTCATGTGTGATATGATCTAGCATCATCCGATGAATCTCACTTTTCTGTCTTTGAGATGAAATGAATACTTGAACATAGTCATTGGAACATAATCGTTCATTTGTAATGTGATATTGATTCATCTGACGAATTTTGCTTTCTTGTCTTCGAAATGAAATGAACGTGTGAATAGAAGTATAATGAGAAATATTCAGTTGTTATGTGATCTTAGATCATCTGATATATCTTGCTTTCTCGTCTTCGAAATGAAATGAACGCGTGAACAGAAGTATAATGGAAAATATTCATTTGTAATATGATCTGAGATCATCTGATTAATCTTGCTTTCTTGTCTTCAAAGTGTAATGAATAGATGAACATAATCATTGGACAACAATTATTCGTTTGACTTATCGTATATGCAAAAAATGATGAGGGTGTTGTTTGTAGTTTAAAGAACATGATGAAGTTAGACTGGACAATCGTGTATGCTTTTCATCAATTCTTGTTGTCAATCAATTAGTCAAGGTAAAACATTAACAATGAAAATTAAACGTAACTGTTGAATAGAATTTTCGTTAGAAGTATGTATTTCTTATATGATGTTGTATCCATCTGCGAAATTTAAGATGACAGTTCAGGCATAAAAAGTAATAGAACAAAATGATGGTAACATTTATTTTTTGTTATTCTAGTCTTTTGTCAATTTCTCAATTCGTAATTCTGTTTTTGAAGGAAACAATATAGTTGAAAAAAGCAATAGTCAACATAGTTCATAAATCACATAGTTTTTGAGCAACGGCTAAAATTACAATTTTGGTTAATAAGTAATTCAAATAGAAGAATAAAAGCATGCAACTTGTAGTTATAAAGATCTCTTTGCCATATGATCTTGGATCATTTGATAAATCTTCCATTTTATCTTGGAAATGAAACGAATAAGTGAACAAAACTCTCATGAAAAATATTAATTTTTGACGTAATTTTCGATCATCTAATGAATCTCGCTTTCTTATCTTCGAAAATTAAAATGAATAGATGAACGAAAGTATGGTGAGAAATATTCATTTGTCTTGTGATCTTGGACCATCGGCTAAATCTCGTATTTCTGTCTTCAAAAGGACATGAATAGATGAACAGAAGTATATTTGAAAATACTCATTTGTGATGTGACATTGAACCATCTGATGAATATCGTTTGTTGATCTTCGAAATGAAATTATTAGATGAACAGAAGTATGATGAGAAATATTTATTTTTCATGTGATATTAGAACATCTAATGAATCTCACTTTTTTGTCTTCGCAATGAAATGAATAGATGAACAACACGATGATAAGAAAGATTCATTTGTTATGTGATCTTGAATCATTTGCTAAATCTCGCTTTTCTTGTTTTTGATATTAAAATGAATACATGAACAACACTATCCTGAAAAATATTCATTTGCCATGTCATTTTGAGTCACCTGATGAATCTTGCTTTCTTGTATTTGAAATAAAATGAATAAGTGAACAGAAATATGATGCGAAATTTTCATATGTAATGTTATCTTAGATGATAAGATAAACTTCGGTTCCTTTAATCTAAAATAAGAAAGGGAGATGAACGGATTCATTGGAATAGTTTCATTCAATTTTTTCATTCGCATTTCAGCAATGGTTTCTGTTCTAACTTTCAATAGAAATGGGTTAGTAAGTGAATAGAAGGAGGCTGTAAGATATTTGTTGACTATAGAATTATTAACCTATGGGTTATTATTATCTATTTGCGTCAAACTGAGAAGAGTAATTGAATGAAATCATCATTGGAAATGTTCTTTTATATGACGTATTTGAGAAATAGTAAATTTTTACAGATTTTGGTAATCGAAGATGGATAGATGAATCAAGAAATATATGTTCATGTAAATGATCAAACTGAAAAATGACTCTAATAACCGTAACATAAGATTTCTTATTACGGAGCTTAATAATTGTTTGTTATTTTTTTCTATTGTGAAGAGTAAATAAAGACACTAAGAGTAGTGCACTGAAAATTTTTTTGGATACAGTTAATGCAACCTTTACAGAATTAAGAAGTTATTTCACTTGTAGAATTAAAAAACCATAGAGATAATAACCGCTTTTTTTTGTAATCGATATCCATCATCAAAAGTAACATTGAATTATGTTTTGAAATGAAATCAAAGATTACTTTTTAAATTGCAATTTCTATCAAACAAAATCTTATAAAAATCATTGAGGATGTCTTGATCAAAATAATTCGACTTCGACTAATAGTTTCTCTTTCGTTAAAAAATTAGAAAACAAAAGTAGAAATGCTCATAAGAATCAGAAATAATAATTATCAATAAATTCATTCACATTTAATCCAATCGATCACAAATATTTTTGTAATTGAACAAATTTCGTGATTAGAAATATCAAGGGAAAAACTGGAAAAAGAAGAACCTAGCACGTAGAAATTCGATTACGACAAGTTAAAAAAAGATGGTGGAAACGACAAACAGCGAAAATTTAATGAATCACTAGAAAGTTCTAAGTTTTATGTTCATAAGAAGATTACGAAAGAATTATGAAATTAGAACAAAGTAGTGAATTGTACAAGTGTAATTACGTTTTAAACAGTCATTTTAGTAGTATATTTACGTTAAAGCTTCAATACAATCAACATAATGAAGATGTTTATGCTGAATCACTACTTGATATTCCACCTCAATTAATAATCAAATCAAAACAAAAATTCTAGAAAAATGCTACATTATGAGGTGATATTTCTTATAATAAAAGATGTATTGTACTGGCGATCGGTATGCAAATTTCGTTCGAGCGATTGTAGCAGAAAAAAGTAGATAAAGAATTGAGTGATTTACAAACTAATAATTTTTCAAGATGATTACAATCACAAATAAAAGATACTGGTGGCTTTGTATGCTGCTAAACGTTTTTTTATCAATCTATTTGAATAATTAAATTGCTATGTAAAACTAGCTGATGTTCACCCTATAGAAAATGTTTGTGGTACACATAAAGAGAAATTACGAATACGACAATACGATAATATCGGATATTGAAAAATGACATTAAGAAAAGACAGAAGAACTATTTAATATTTCTCTATGCCAATGGATGATAGATAACATAGCATCACAATTGAAATTAGCAAGTGATCAGGATGATAGTGAAATTCATGAATGTTGGTAACTTTATATGTGCTAGATTTGTATTTCGAAAATTTGTATTGTTTTCAAAACTAAAAATCAGGATGATGGAAAAATTGAAAAAAACAAGAAATGATATTGTTTTCGTAGTTTGTCACCTATAGTAAAAGCGTGAGACTGCCATTTTTCTAGACATTCAGTATTAAGTAGATGCACTAAACTGTCGACACTTTTTATGTTTGAATTTTCTCAATACAAGAACGATATGTGTTTGAAATTGCTTCAGAACTTCTTGGATATCTCTTATGGATATGAAGACTGATGAGTACTTATTATGAATATAATAAACGCATGGTCTTTTTGAACGAAATATGATTGACACATCTGCGATTTAACACCAATTCTCTTATTCTTTGACAATAAAAGTTCGACCTAGCGCATTATTTTTATTGTAATTATTCTTTAATATTATCGTTCAATCAAATATGTGAATAATTATTAACGTATAAAATTGGGTAAAATGAAGGATATGACTAAACTAACACTCAGATCAATTTTTTTATTATTAAATATAAAACAAGGGAAAAAGTTTAATTAATATAATAAATAAGACGTTCCCATTGATTTGATTTTTGTAAATTTTGTGTGCTACCACATCTATCACCACTAATCTTTTTGACATTTGATTGAAGTGTCCAACAAAGTCGATAATCAGAATCCAAATTACTTGAATCGCATGGATTAACAACAAATGATAAAGAACCACGTACAAAACCCCAAGTTTGATTATTCACATGATACCATCCAACACCACGTTTAGCTTGAGTAATACATTGATGATGTGATGAACATATGAATTTCTTGTTTAACTTCATAGATTTACCATTAGTTTTGCATTGTTTTGGTAAACATGGATGTAGAATATCTTCACGTTGTCCAATGCCTGCTAGAGTGAGTATTTTTTTATTATTAACTGAACGACAAGCAACAAGAAGTCGACTACCATTACAAGATTTTGTTAATATAGATAAATCAAATGATACATTATATGTACTACGATAACATTCTTTCCAACCAATGAGAGATTTTACAGTCAAGTTAATATGTGTACCTTCCATTGGTGATAAAAAATGATCAGCTACAATGAATAAAATACATAGTATCAGAAAAGAAATATAATTGATGCTTTATTTATACTACGACATGATTATAGGAAAATAAATATTCAACAAAATTGACTCTAACTATTCTATGACATGTGTAATAATTTTATTGATTTAAATATTAAAGATCAATGAAATACGAAGATTTTATATTTTTTAGAAAGAATTGTCAACATTGTTTTAATCAATAAAAACAATTTTACACTATTCACTTACTAAATTGATGATAGAATGTGTAACTTACGTGTTAGTCCAAGGTCAATAAGCATATGTGTAAAGTTTATGTGTGTGTTAATGAATGGTGATGAAAGTTGTAGTTGATATCCTGATATATTTGACATTCGTTTGATTATTCGTAATTGATCAAGTAAATAATTAAAATAAATTGGATTATAATCAAAAAATATTGCACCTTGTTTATCTAAAGATAATGTCTTGTTCATATTTTCTTTGCTAAACATTAAAGCTAGTTTTGAATTAGGTACAGCAGTCAATGTCGAGCGTAATGTAGTCATTTTTTGACCACCAATATTTAATTCAATTATATCATCAGATAAAGATCCATGATTTTTGACTACTTTGCCAGTATTCGTATGTAGATGTGATGCACTTTTAACAATATTAATGTCGTCAATAGGTATCATATGCTTAACAATAGCTGCAGAAATAAATATTTGACATTGATGACACATCAAACAAATTATCTAAATATAATAATATTATAGATTTTAAAAAATATTATTCATTGAAGAATACATACGAGCAATATAGAAAGCATCATTGATAATTTCTCACGATAGATGATCTGCAAATCAATGCCATAATCACATATTATATTTATCACACTTGTCGATTGTTTTCCTTTGTAGAGAGTTATATATAGAAAGATGAATATTACGTATTCTAGTATCATTAGAACAAATCTATAAATGAGAGAAAATCTTTTTTGCTTCTCTCTTCTATTTCCTAACGATAGCTTCGTTATATCGTTTTACGTATATATAAAGAATATAATATTTCCATCGTTCTTTTGCTATTATAAATAGACAAGTATATCGATTCAAGTGATCTTGTTTGATTTATCCAGATTGCAAGTAACAGATATTTCTTTTTTTTTGGAAATGTGTTAAATCTAACAAATTTTCAATTATGTTAAAGTTAATATGCAGAATAAGAGAACGTACATATTACCTCTCCTTTAAATACTAATAAATAATTATGCACAATATGAAAAGTATCGAGTAATGAAAGATGAAAATTATAGTCGCATTGTGCCATTTATTTATCGTACATAGTGCAAACAAAGATCAACATAAAGGCTAAAAACCTGAGGAAAAGATATAAATAATTAAGAAACTAATGTATCATCATTATTATTTGTTTAATTCTACGATGATATGCATATTAACCATTTGTGTGTAATTTTTCTTTGCAATGCCCTTTTTTGAAGAAGGTCGAATTTGTGTGATGTTACCGCTAAATACAGATCATTAATAGTATGATTGAATACTAATGAAGTTCTTTATTAAAATAATCCTATTTTGAAATATAACAATAATCTAGAATTTTTTTCAAGGAATTCATTTTCACAATAAAAAAAAATGCACTATAAAGAATTTTAACAGCGCAAAAAATCATGTTGAAATACATTGTTATCCTCAATTCAATGTTCTCATTCTATACTTTATAAATAATTATAAGATATTTATGCTAGCTTGTTTGAAGTAAGGAGAAAAAGTGTATATAGAAACGATGATTTATTCAGATTTATAGTACCGTTAGGATGTTGATTTTGAATTAATGTTGAACAGTCTTGTTTTAGATATTTCGTCATATAATCGCTCATTACAGTCGAACCTAGCCAAATTAGATCATTAGATTGTTCTTTTCTAATCTGACATATTCATATAATCATACATTTCATTGAGAAAATATTCATTAGAAATGCAAATATCATTCATGTTTCGATATTTATCATGTTTAAATTCATTAAATTATATTTTAAAGTCATAAAACAAATTATATTGTTGTCACATGTCTGTATTTTTTCGAGTTTTTATAAAATTTATCCCATGTGTATCAGCGACTGTTTTCTCCAACTTTTCCTTAGTATCACAAAAACCAACAAAAAAAACGCCTTTCTTCCATTGTTGTCACACTCAGGGAGGTTTCTAGAGAAGGCAGTAACCCTTAATTTTATGCTCTTTAAAATGTCATTATTAAAACATAGCTTTCGGAAGTTGAAAACTACAGCGGCCGATTTTTTAGAAAATCTTTTTATCATAAGTCATTTAGTATAGAATCCATTATATTGAAAACTTAATTGACTATTCAAAAATCACTGTCTGTATTTGAGTTAATTGTTTAACATTATAGAATGAATATGTTGTTGTTAAACTTTTTGCTAACACTTTATGCTTCAGTTTTGTCAATATTTCAATTCTACTTGTATAATGTGATACTTTCATTGAATATTATAAATCCATAAATATTGAAAAGTATGAATGATATAATTATGAGAAAAATTCTATGATTTATTATCTTGTTGTAAAGAAATATGTTTCGATAGTCAACAATAATAAATACAATTATAAAATTTAACCGTTAAATTATTCTCAATAGTGTAAATATTGATTAAATAATCGATATGAGATAGACTAAAATAGAAAATATTTTGTACAAATATCATTTTTTACAATTACATGATCAAAATAGAACTTTTTATTTTGATCATATTTAACATGCACGTTGTTTTTTTCTAATTGAACGCGTATACATATAAGCAATACAAACTTTTTTTTAAGTACATTTATTGAATAAGTTGAGACATATGAATATTTTCTTGAAATTAGGAAAAAAAGTATTTATCGAATGAATGAATCATTTATTTCATTTTATTGACAATAAATATTATCAATATGTCAGAGATAAACGTTCATTCTCTTCTGTTTTTGTTGAAAAAGGATTAACTTTTAAAGAGTTCATTAACTTGTTCTAATCTGAAGGAACATTTAAAGTAAACGAAAATATTTATAAAATAATCATTCAATAATGATTAAGGTGCTGATCCACATTCTGATGCAAGTTGTTGTCGTCGTAATTGTCGTCGAATAATTAATTTTTGTATAGCCCATGGCCAATTTTCATGAATTTTTAATTCATCACCAAGTACTTTCCAATCTTCGAGAATTTTATAATCTAATGATGATCGACGTCGAGTACGTAAACGTGAATTTGATGTAGATAAATCTGTAACTGATGACCATTGATCTAGATTAGAATAAATAGAAAAATTATCATTATTATTATTTCTTTGATTACTATTACTACTTCTATGTCTTTCATTCATTGTTGCTAATTGTTTTTCAATATTACGAATACGAACTATTTCAGCACGAATTATTTTATCATTCATATCTCCTGATGTACCTAAATAAATATCCCATAATTTATCTCGTTTTTGTTTATTAACAAGTTCTTCTAAATAAAATTAAAAAAAAAGTTTTTCTTTTGTCTTTTTTTTTTAATTAACATTTAAATTTACCTAATATTTCTTTATTATGACTTAGATCACGAAAATTTTGAACAAATAATTTTGTTGAAGGATTTATTGATTCTTCAAGATTTTCAACAGATGTTCGCATTTGCATTCCCAATAGAAATACAAAACTTGATGAATAAAATAAAAGAACAATGATAATAAATATTATAGCATCAAGAGAATCATTCGTGATGGCTGACTCGTTGTCTGATTCGATATATTGATTTAATGTAGAAGTAGTGTTATTTAACATTATGATCGTCGTATAATCATAAGATGAATAAACAAAAGTAACATAAAAGAAAATCTCAATAGTCTTATTTAATGATAAGAATTGAAGCAGTGCTGCATATAAAATAGATTATAATAAACAATGACGTTTTAGTTTTGCATTAATTTTGTTTCTAATATATTTTAGTATAAGAGCAATGTAGACAGTTCATTATTTTTCGCTTAAAAAGAATCTATAAGTTCTTCGATATTTGTAACACATTTTAATTGTGCATAATAAATTTACCAATTTTTTTATCATATGAAAGAATCTTCTCCAAGGCACAAACGAAATATAATTCATATAAAACTTTGACCCCAATCGTTATCAACTCAATTGTTATTCTACACATCAGTTTATGTATCTGTTTGAATAAAAAATAAGTTAAAATAGATTCTTTTTTTTATCGCTGCTCGTCTTATGTTTAAAATTAAACACCATACGAATGAACTCCAATGTGTCAGTAATGCAGATACATGCACCATGTCTAAAAGAAAAAAGTGACTATTTTGTACTTTACTGTACTCTGAGAGTTTGTCAAAGTAATCCTCTAGAACTTCTTTACTAAAACTAAAGATTAATTTTGTTGAAAGAACATTGACGTTATATATTACGCAACTGTGTAAGAAACGTGTAATATGATTTACATGTAAATAATCTGACTTTTTCATTCTTTCTTTTCAAATTCCTTTAATAAACAATGTTTGTTAAGTTTTGATTTCTATTTTAACCAACACAGCAATATTGGTCAATGACCAACAATAAAAAAAAAAGTACGTATATTCATCAAGAACAACAAGAAAAAAAGACATAACACCAAAATTTCTTTCTCTTACATTGAATACAACAACGAGAGAGAGAGAGTAAAAAGTAGCATTTGGAACAAGTTCAAAATTCATTCGTTTTCTTTTTCTTTTTTTTATCGTTGAATTTATATATGAAAAAAAACAAAGATAATCGATCAAAGAAAGAAACAAATATAATAAAGATACAAGACAAGAAAAGAGTGAAGTTTAAATCATGTATTCAACGAAGTGAGTAATAGGTATTGATTGTATTGTTTTGTTTTTTTTTCGTGTAATTATATTTGATCATCAGAACAAATGAATGTCTTTGTGCATAAAAGAAAAAAGAAAAACAAAAAAATGTTTTTTTGTTTTGTTTTAGATTACGATACATGAAGAAAAAATAAAAGAGATAGAAAATAGAGATCGTCCATAGAAAAAGGAAAACAGTTTAGAGATCCGATTCGCCATAAAGAGCCGATGAAAATGTTTTATAATCATATGCACCAGGTACACTATCAGCGCCTGTATATGGTTTCATACGTTGTATACACCATTCAGCTTGATCAGCTGGTAATTCACGTTTAAGTACTTCAGCTGTAATATAAGGCTAAAAAGAAAAATGATTGATAATAATAATTCATCTTAATATTCTTGAGTTTTAAAATGCCTGAAATCACAATTCGAAGATCAGGTTAATCTTCGGTCAATTTTTTGATTTATTGTATCATGTACAATATATCTACGCTTCCAACAAAAAGACATATTCGCTTCTCCGAAAGAGAAAATATGAATGAAATACTGTTTTTCAACTTAAATTACATAAATAAGGTTGTAGCAAAAATTTTAACAATAATGGATTTTTACATTTTATATTAGATGAACTATGATGGTAAGCTTTCTGAAAAAATGGACACAATAGTTTTTAGTTCCTAGAAGACTATTTCTTAAGAAATAGTCTTCTCGGATCTGAAACATGGTATTTTATATTAACTAAAAGCTTTCTAATTTATACGTAAGAAAAAAACATATTCTCCTGATTGCACTAATTAGTATAATTGGTAATTCTATCTCATATATCAATACTTTTTTTTTATCTCTAAATTGTTGATGAAAGAATAAAGTACTATAATTATTTATGATTAACGAACTTACTTTATCGGCAGACAGTGTCTTGAAAGCAAGTGTTAATTGATCAACACTATCTTCTTCAGAACATTCACGTGTCATAAAGTCCAAAAATGATTCAAATGTAACAAAACCTGTATGTGTTGGATCAACATTTGCCATAATACGTTGAAAATCAGCATCGCCTTGTCGATCTTCACGTATATTATAACCACAAGCAATTAAACATGAACGAAATTCTTTTGGATCAAGTCGTCCTATTTTTAAAATAATCAATAAAATCATATAGAAATTTTAAAAAAAAATGCGACAAAAATACATACGACTTCGACTTTTATCAAAATGAGCAAAAGCAGCTCGAAATTCATTCATTTGTTCTTCACTAATTCCTTTCTTTTCTAATGTATATATTTGATTTTTAATTTCAGCTATTTGTCTTGTTAATTGTGTATGTAACTGTTCCCATGCAACACGTATAACTTCCATTGTATATGGTGTATGACGATTTTCAAATATCATACATTCTTGAATTTGTTGATTATATTTTTCAAGTTCATCTATATGTGGACGATATTGTGCAACATTATTTTCCATTGTTTCAAGTTTTTTTTGATGTTGTTCTAATGTACCAACAACTTGAAATGTTAATTGTTGAAGTTGTTCATGTTGTCGTTCAATCCATGGACCAACAATATTTGCTTTTTGAGCAAATTGTATACGAAAACGTTCATTTTGTTGTTGTTTACCATATTCTGTTTGTAAATCTTGATCACGTTGAGGTACAAGTGCTTGAACTTCATTCCATTTTGTTGTTAATTCCTTAATTTAAAAAATAAAGTTTTTTAGATTTACAAAATTTTATACTAATGATCTTTTTTTTTTTGTTTGTATGACAAAAAAAACTATGATTAATATTTCAGTTCTTAGAATAGAAGAAACAACTCTTTACAAAATGTAACGTCTTCTAGTTTTCTACAATGTTTTTTTTTGATCGAGATGAGAGCAATAACATAGAAAACAGACATGTCAGTTTTAAGCACCACTGTATATATATATATGTCTGAATTTTGAAATTTCATTCCCTTGTAACTGAATAAGAAATTAAAACATGAAAGTTTATACTAGATCTTGAAATAAGAGTAAAACAAAATCAGTTATGAAGAGACAAGTTTTCGATATTTGACCTTGCTGAAAATTACATTATAAATCTAGACATTGGGTCTATTGTAAAAACCTTGGACTTGTCGACTACAAGGTTAGAAAATTATTCATAAATTACATTTTAATTAACTATCTAATTATGTATAATTAGCTTGTTCAAAAAAAAAAAGAATCTAATTCTTGTAAAGAATATAAATCAAATCATATCTCATATATCAGTCGATATTGATAAGTAAAGTAATTAAAACAAAAATCTCGGATGTGAGTATATACTTTTTTTTTTTATTTGTCAAAGAATCATAGTTTTCAAATACTGTTTATCGAAGCTCATAAATATATACAGATGTCTCGACATAAAAAACACGTAATGTATATGTATATGTTATATTTTGACATTTCAAAAGATTTCTGATTAGAACAAGTTAATCCTTTAATCTTCGAATGAAAAATTATCATATATTTGATGTTCGTAAAATTCAATGAATATAAATTTTTCTTTTTCTTTTTTTTTTTGATTTTCAAAAATAATTTATAGAATTATTTTTAATCGGTAATATGAAATTTATAAATTCGATTAATATAAAATGTTTTATTATGATGTATAGAAATTTTTCTTTTTTAGAGTAACTTACCTCGGGTTGTATATTTGTATATGGATTAGGTGGTAAATCAAGATTATTATCTTGACATGTTTGTCGTGCATCTTCAACAAGACGTATTATATTTTTATATTCAGTATCAGCTTCTCCTAATGTTGCTTTAAATTGATTATGTGCTTCAATTAAACCTATAATAAAATTTTACATTTATTATTCATTTTTTTTTTTTTTTGTTCTTTTATTTCTTTTTTGCATTACCGCATATTTCATCAAGTGTATGTATAAAAAACATATCAATTAAATCTTCACGTGCACCATCAAGCCAATTTAAATATGGTGCAGCTTTTTTTGCATAGTCTAAAAATAAACTATCAATACGTTCAACAATTTTTTCAGCTTCTGTTAATGCTAAACGTCGTTTTTGTGTTAAATCACCAAGTTCATCCCATTCATTACAAAGTTTTTGACAACGTTCATTAATGCCTGTTATTTGTTCATAACCAAGAACATTTAATTCTTGTGCTATAGCAGCTATTTGTTCAACACGATCTTGATGTGCAGCAAGATCACTTTCAAATGCTAAATGTTTACGTGATAATGCACGTAAATCATTTAATGAACATTGTTTAAAATCTGTTGATTTAAATAAATCAATTTTTCCATTTGACCATTCTTCATGTATGTCACATTTATGTTGAAATTTTTTAACCAAATGATCAAGACGTTCAAGACTATATTTAAAGATAGAAAGAAAAAAAAACCACGATATTTATCAAATCTAATAGAAAAAAAAAGATAATGATTAAAACTAAAGTTATGACTAACGAGAGAATGTTTTCAATTGAAAAATTGATTTTGAATTTGGACTTTGTACAAAAGAAAAACCTCAGTGAGATATTTTTAAAAAATCTTAATAATATAGCTTCCTTTAGACGTTCTATCCAGAGTTATAGATATTTTTGGATCTTTGGCATGTTATATATCAATAAAGCAAACTTGAGACTTCAATATCTCACAATGGATACAGCATGTTCTACTAACAAATAGATATGTCTGTTGGCAAAATGTCGTCATTTGATTTGTTGATATATACCATGTCAGAGACTAAAATGTCTATAAATCTTGATAAAACACCTGAGGAAATTTATCCTTTTGATGTTTTTCA